TGGGGACATCATTGGGACATTGGGGACATCATTGGGGACATCATTGGGACATTGGGGACATCATTGGGGACATCATTGGGACATTGGGGACATCATTGGGACATTGGGGACATCATTGGGGACATCATTGGGACACTGGGGACATCATTGGGACATTGGGGACATCATTGGGGACATCATTGGGACATTGGGGACATCATTGGGGACATCATTGGGACATTGGGGACATCACTGGGGACATCACTGGGACATTGGGGACATCACTGGGACACGGGGCCAGAGGGACACAGGGACATCCCAAGGACATTGGGGACACCCCAGAAGGATCTGGGGACACCCCAGGGGGGTTTGGGGACATTGGGGACACCCCCAGGTGATTTGGGGACACCCCAAGGGACCCCGGTGTCACCCTGGGCTCACCCCGGGGTCCCCAATCCGTCCCCTCCCCCACCCCGTGACCCCCCCGGGCGCTGTGGTCACCCCCGGTGACGTGGGGGTGTCACATGCTGTCCCCTCCCCCCCCAGCCCCCACAATGTCCCTTTGTTCCCACGGTGGCACCGCCCGGACGATGACGTCATCGGGGGGAGGGGACACCCCGAGGGACCCCAATGTCACCTGAGGGGGGTTGGGGACACCCTGAGGGACCCCGGTGTCACCTGAGGGGGGTTGGGGACACCCCGAGGGACCCCCGGTGTCACCCCTGGGGCTGCACGTGTCCCCCTGTGGTGGCTCTGGGGATCTCGATGTCCCCAATGTCCCCAGTGCCACCCCAATGTCCCAAAAGTCACCAATGTCCCCAGTGCCACCTCAGTGTCCTCAATGTCCCCAGATGTCCCCAATGTCAGTCCAATGTCACCCCAGATGTCCCCAAGTGTCACCCACCACCTCAGCAAAGATGCAGCCCAGGCTCCAGATGTCCCCAATGATGTCCCCAATGTCCCCAGTGATGTCCCCAATGTCCCCAAGTGCCACCCACCATCTCGGTGAAGATGCAGCCCAGGCTCCAGATGTCCCCAATGTCCCC